CAGCTAGGTCTTTCATCTTTGTTTAAGTCACTGCCACCTCCGGTGAAGTAGCTTCCCTTTAAACGGTGCGTGAGTTCAGCGCTACACTTTTCGCTCGCTAAGCTGTTTGCTTTCAGACACTCGATCGTAGTCAGACTAAACTTCCGGTACCTTCAGGGAACAATATACTTTCTATACTAATCGGTGGTTCCTTCTGACACCTACCGGACATCGAGAAACACGGGAAATTAGAGATCGGAGGGCTTTCGAAGGTTGTGATATAGAGCGCCTCCATCTCTAAAAACGTAAACGACCGGAAGAGCCTAGACAAGCAAGTAGTTAGCGGTTCCCAGCACACAACGATTAGACTGGTCCACAAATAATCGGCAAATGATCAAAACTCAATGAAGACTCACTTTGCTCCTGTCTTTTGCCATCTGTTGACGGCTCCAGCATAGCTTTGGGGTTTGGGACGCCAGGGGACTCGTACTGGGAACCGCGAACTACTTGCTCGCTGAGGCTCTTCCAGTCGTTCACGCCCCTCTCTTTTCATCGGTTCTTGAAAGTCGAACGCCTCCACCCTACGAACAGCTTCCCCAAGAGTGAGTGGAGCTCGCCCTTGGAGCTCCCGCTTTGTAACAGGATTCAGCAGTCCCTCCTGGAACTGCTCGAGGGCGAACTCCCGTTGCACTTCTTTGGACTTCTCAGGAAATCCTCGTCCGACTAGCATTTGTAGTTCGCTAACATATTTTTCTGCGGACTCGCCCGGCCTTTAGTCCCTTCTTGAGTATTGATGTCGAAGGGATGGATGGTTGACCTGACCGGGGAACAATTCCCAGTCTGGGGGTAGTCCTCGTTTTCATTGATCAGTAGTTTTTGTACCTAATCATTTAGCCGGTCTAGAATACCCAGGTTATGTTTCTCTGTTGGCACTCGGCGCAAAGATCTTTGCATCTTCATCTGCCAGTGTCCGATTCGTTCCAGCTTCAAATACGGGGTGATGGCTCCAACTGTATCGCCGGCGCAACCGCAAACGTGACTTGCGGTAACCGAGTCCTGACCGTAGGCGAGTTGACACTTTCGCAGTCGCTGTAATCTTCGGATTCCTTCGCGGGGGATTTGATCCCCGTTGCCAAATTAGTAATAGACATGCGAAGGTTTAAGCCACATGGACGGGTGCGAGCTGAAACGGATCCTGAATTAGACATCGGCACAATATCCCAGCCCACAGCAGGTCAGGTCGGTTCGCAGAACGTAGCGGCGGCTTGTCGATGTCGAGCTTCTTGCACTAGCTCCGTGGATCCCCTGGTGCCACGACAACAGGAAGAGAAAACTATTCTTCAATTTTTTTTATTATACACCCAAGTGTGATGAACAGCAAACGGGATGAAACCCCATAGTCACGAGGACCTGCTATTCAGTGATGGAAAACGGAAACCTCAGCCCCTGGGCTTGGAGTGGCGAACCACATAAGGCACCGGTAGGTTAGGCGTGGTATTGAACCGGACGACAGCAAAGCTGCCCACCACCAAAGTTGGGTGGCGATGGCAGGGCTCAAACCTGCCAAATCAGACCAAAGGGTCCAAAGCACGTCTGTGACAGCAACTAAACCGCTGCACCACCACGGTATGCAACGACCAGGAGAGACCCCCTTCGCAGGTCTACAGTCAGGAGTGATGTTGCGTCTTGTGGACTCATGGGGTGATAAAACCATCCATTGGGAACAAGAAGTTAGAGCAATGGGGTGAGTAATATTTAAAAAGTAGAATAAGAGACAAGCCTAGAGCCTCCAGGGAGGGTGACGAGGGGAGATGTTACATGAAATGAAAGGTAGTCCCCGAGTCAGCTACGTCCAGACTGTTCAACACAGTATATGCCCCTCTCCCTACCCGCTCCTTAGGCACACTGGTCTATAACATGTCCAGTCTGCGCTTGGAATCTGCTGTTGATGTGGCAGCAATGACTTCATCCACCAGACTATTTCAATCATACACAACTCTCGTTGCGAACGAAGACGCTCTCAAGCGAGTCCTCACTCTATATTTAACCCGTTTTAGAGTATGCCCTCTCAGGTTCGTTGTTTCACTGAACTTGAGCAGCGCTCCCTCTGGTACGTCCATAAACCCTCAGGGTTTTGTACGCTTCCATCAAGTCTCCGCCTCCAAAAGCTTCAGTATGGTCGGGGGTGGGTGTCTATGGTTGTGGCTGGTCACCCTGCACTTGCACCTCACGAAATGCCCCCACACGACCAAGCGTCTCAAATAGCCTCTGCTGAGGAAGCCCTACTCACTGCCTTCTCGCGGTGGAGGTGTTTTCCCACCAGAGTGAGAGGACGAAAAGCCGATATCCGGGGCTACAGCCGGGTTGGTGGAAGACTGGCAGTTTCACCTAGGAGAGTTAGCCAAAAACCCTGATTCCAAACCAACCATGAGGAGACGAGTGAACCACACCCACGCCGTTGGCCAAAAACCCTGATTCCAAACCAACCATGAGGAGACGTACGAACCACACCCACACATTTTCGGTTGTGGTAGTGGTCACTGGCTCGATTGGGCATTGAGGTGTATTGGGCACCTTGGACGTTTGATCCCGTCCAAGGGGCGTATGATCCGATCAACTGGACACCGGCTCCCAATGGATTACGGTTTTCACACACCGCCCCGCTGCCTTGCGGGTCAGGTTTTGGCCAGCCGAAGGCTCCGGTTGTGGATTTCTCAAGAAAATTCACTTGCCTTGGCCTGGGCAACCTGGCGGTACTCAGCCCACAAGCCAATCATGGAACATTTTCCTTTATATAAAGATTATTGTACCCTGATTTGTTTGGCACACAGTCTGTCCTCAAACAAGTGTGAAATATAATAATACTGTCTCCACGTCGCCAAACAAATCAGGGTACAATAATCTTTATATAAAGGAAAATG